ATATATATATATATATATATATATATATATATATCAAATAATAATNTTAAAAAAAATGTATTATACAAAATATAAATAATAATATAAGATAATATATAACGATATATAAATAAGTTATTATACTTAAATTAATATTACAAATACTTACGAATAATGGATCTTGTATATTTTGCTCTCCATTTGGATCATACTTTCCAAGGAGCTCAATTTTGGCTTGACTATCTTCTGGTTGAATTTGAAATAGATTATAAACTATTCCATTATCCATTCCAAATATCCAGTTAAATTTGTAGAAATCTTCCTTTGTTATCTGGAAATATGATAATATTTATTATCTTATTTTTTAAATACAAACTTAATTACCTGTCTTGCTGTGTGAGTATAATATATAATGCCTCTTTTTTTGAGTGTAGACATAGCTCTGGGTTCTGGATTGTTACCTACATGATATTTCAAAAGTGCAGCACTATCTACTTCCCAAGAATTAAGAAGATTTAATTTTTTTATTTCATCATAAAATATTGCTTCTGCTATAGGAGAACGACAACTATTTCCTAAAAAATTTAATATTGATAAAATATATCAAATTATTATATTACTGTAAAAAAATAATACTTCTTAATCCAAAAATATACCTAAACACACCATTAATACTTTCTTTTTGGAGGCTGTCATTCTTAACTTGGAAAAATATTTAAGGTTATGTAAGAGATTTTAATAAGATGAAACAAAACTTATATATTTGATTATAAATAACTTTTGGGTATAAATAGTTACATAAATATATGCACAAAATTAACATAATATTAAAAAAAATTGATTTAGATATAAAAAATAAAAAAAATTGTTTTAGAAAATGATAAATAATAACAAATTAATATTTTAATTTTGTAATGAATATTTATTATTTTTAAGAATCTTTAAATATATGTATATATAATATTTCAATAATATTTATTATTTAAATTACTTTAAAGCTTCAATCTGATTATTTATCTAAAAATAAAAAATATTGTTATTATATTTAAAAAAAATATGAATTATAAAAAATTTAATAAAATTAATAATACCTTTATGTTTTTCTAAAAATGCTTTTGAACTTCGCAAACTTTGTTCATATACCTTATAAAATCCAGCAATGTCTACATCCTGTAATAAAATATTTATCAATATAAGTTTCATGCAATAGACTATTATTTATTTATATGTTACGATTTTAAATTAACATCTTAAAATAATTATATACATAAAATGGATCTCGAATTATAAGTTCTCCTCGAGGATCATATTTTCCTAAAAGTTCAATTTTAGCAGTAGAATTAGGAGGTTTCATTTGATTTAAATATTGAATATTACTCTTGTCCATTGCAAGTATCCAATCAAATTTAATAAAATCATCTCTTGTGATCTATAATAATAAAATATATTAATATAAACATATATATAAAACATATAATACATTTACTTACTTGTCGTGCTTTGTGAGAATAATTGGTGATACCTTTCTCTCTTATTATAGACATAGATCTATGATCTGGGTTTTTACCTATATGATATCCTATAATACCTGCACTTTCTACTTCCCATGAATCACTTAAGCCTAATTTATTTATTTGATCATTAAAAACTGCTTCTGCTATAGGAGAACGACAAATATTTCCTATAAATAAAAATCATATTACTACTATAAAATTTTTTATATTTATTTATTCAAATAATATTTTAACATACCTAAACAAATTATAAGTACTCTTTTTTTTTCAGTCATGATTTTTTTTACTTCATACAAAGATTAAGTTATAATAAAAAATAATTTTAAATATAAAAAATATTTGTAATTATCTGCATATTATAATATAATTATAACTACATATTTTATGATCATGCAGGTTTGCCAATGTTATATTATTTGAAAAATTTACTAGATATTTTATAACTTTATATTATAGTGTTATTTTGATTATAATTATTGGCAGTACTTATTTATATGAAAAATATGCCATGTGGTTAAAATAAAATAGGTTAAAATTCACTTAAAAATATTTTTAAAAATGTCATTTTTTATTAGAAATAAACAAAATAGTGGAGGAATTAAAAGAAGGGTATAAAATATATATATATATGATTTTTAATAATTTTTTATGAGATTATTTTATTGTAAAACAATAATTATTTATGATATTGTACAAAAAGTTTATTTTATATTTTAATTCAATATTATTATATTTTAGTTCAATCAACATATTAAAAAAAAAGGACAGAAAAAAAATATAAATAAATCTGTACCTGATGATAATGAAAGTATTGCAAGTACAGATGAAGAAATTGCAGAAGAAAATCAAAGGTTTTTTATATTATCAAATTTACATTATCAAATTTTTTAAGTTTTTCTTAATTATTATTATTTCTAGTAGAGATGAAGAATATGAAAGTGAAGAAGAAGAGGAAACAGCTCAGGAAAAACGTATAAGACTCGCAAAGCAATATCTTGCACAAATTGAAGAAGAAGGTAAAATTTGAATAAAATATATTTCTGTATAATTATATTATTCATATTTTAATATTAAATTTATATAAATATAGAAAAAGATAGAGCAGAATTTGAAGAAGGAGCAATAACAAAAAGATTACATGAAGAATATTTAGAAGAAAAAGGAAGATTAAGGAAAACTGTAGCTTCAAATTATATTAATTATGGCGAACCTATTGTTTTAAAATGTAAAGAACATAAAAGTTCAATTACATGCTTATGTCTCTCTAGTAATGGAAAATTCTTATATTCTGGTTCAAAAGATGGTAGTTTAATCAAATGTATGTTATTTTTGATTAAGAATTATATAATAACAATTTGTACTATATAATTATATAATAATAATGAATGAATATTATATATTAGGGTGTTTGAAAGAAAGAACAAAATTAAAAGCTATAAAAGGAAAAAGAAAATCACAGGATGGTATAAAATGTGTTCAATGTTTAGCAATTAGTACTGATAGTAAATTTTTGGTAAGAATATATAAATTTTCATTTATAATATTTCATTTATATTCAAGAATTATATAAATATTTATTTTTCTGATTAAAGGTAGTAGGAGATAATGGTTCTAAAAATATTATGGTATTTTGCGGAAATACATTAAATCATATAAAAAATTTACAAGGTCATAGAGGGAATATTACTTGTTTAGTTTTTCGTAAAGAGACGCATACGTTGTATTCTGGTTCCGAGGATAGGAGCGTAAAAGTATGGAATTTAGATGATATGGCATATGTTGAATCTTTGTAAGTATATTTTTATCTTTTTTGATTTAATTTAATTTTATTTTAAAAATTTATCATTTTTTTAGATTTGGACATCAAAATGGTATTACATCGATCGATGCACTTACACGAGAACGAGCTATTACCAGTGGTGGTTTCGATGGCACAATTCGAATTTGGAAAATTGTTGAAGAATCGCAACTTATATTCAATGGACATGGCAGTAGCATAGATACTGTAAAACTTATAAATGAAGAACATTTTTTAAGTTGTGGAGCCGATGGACAATTATGTGTTTGGGGTTGTTTAAAGAAAAAACCTTTGTGTTCAGTGTTAGATGCACATGGAAGAGATAAAAGTAATAATCAACCAATGTGGATTTCAAGTATAGCTACTCTTCTTAATACAGATTTAGTTGCATCAGGTATTTTTTTTAAGTATACGAGCATATTCATTTATAAATTTTAATTATCCATATATTTTTAATATAATTATTGAATACAGGATCACAAAATGGTGTTATTAGATTATGGCAATGCGGTGATTCTTTTAGATCACTGAATCCATTATTTGAGATTGAATTAACAGGGTTCGTAAATGCATTGTGTTTCACTCCAGACGGAACTCAGCTTATTGCTGGAATTGGCCAAGAACATAGGCTTGGAAGATGGTGGCGTATACCAGAAGCAAAAAATGTTATTGTTGTAATACCGTTAATTCAAACAAAAAATAAATAGTTTATAATATATAAAAAAAGATTCTTTGGAGTTATAAATTGAATTTAAAGTTTTAGACAAATATAAATCATATAATTTTTTTATATATTTAATCTGAACAAACTTTATTATTATTTATGTACATATATTAAAAAATGTTTGCTATTTCATAATTTTTTGTCTATTCCTAATATGCTATCTTTGAATGTCTCGTTCACTGTGAAATCGAATCATAGATATGCGAATGAAATAAAAGAAATATTGGTCCACAGTACAAGTATTTATTTATTCTGTACAAAAGTTGAGTTATAAAATATTATGTCCCCATTTTAGGTCTTGTTTTTAGTCTTGTATACCATGCCTTCTTGAGTTCGTTCGTATAATAACAATGATCGCCATTGAGGACATTAGCGTTTATGAGAATAAAGCGATTCGGTCATTGATTGATTACTGACAATGAACCAGAAAGAAACGAGTATCGAAGATGAAAGATCTCTTTCTCATTTCTACATAAATACACCTATTCTCGCACGAACCTCGGGCTCACCGTGTACATATACAAATCAAATCGACTTTTCTTTTTTTAATTTGCATATTTATCCGTAGCAACGAGTGTACAGCAAGTGTACGCTACTTCTTGTATGCATTCTTGCAAGAAGTTTTTTAAATGATTGTAACAACCTAGGTCTTTCAATATGGCTTTCTCTTCACGTACTTTTCGTTTCGCTTTTTCCCTTTTTTTAGGATCTCATAATCGCAAGTATGCTTTTACGGGGATGAATGAAGCAGCGTTGCTTTCCGCCCGATTAGTTTCTTCTCCATTGGCTCTATTTTCGCGAAAAGTCCCCGACATGTTTTATTTAAAATGCTTTTCTTTCATTTATTTCTCTTATTTCACGTTTCTCTTCTCAAGTTATATGATTCTTAAGTTTTTCACATCTCAAATTAGATATCGCTTTCATTCGATTTTTCCGCTTATTCTTATTATTTTTTCATTTTTTTATTTCCGAGAACTCGTTTAATTTTTAGTAAATTAATGAAATTTATTAATAGAATTATTACTTTAAATTATTATAAAATTCAATGATAAATAATTTTTGTATTTATCTTATTTAATCTAAGAAGAAGGAAAGCGATGACATAAAAATAATATCGGTAATTCTTGAAACTTAATTCTAAAATTTCTGATATAGTATAGACCAGTTTCTCGTTGCATATTTTTCTTTTAGAAGTGCCGTTTGGAGAAGAAATACGTATCAGTGTATTTCTTTGGTGATTTAAATACAATGCGTGCGAATGTGTAAGACAAGACTTATTTAGCGTGAATCGCAAATGAATATTGTAAATGCCAGAAATCATCATACAACACACTTACAAGCACACTTAACATTTTTTCGCATCGTTCTATATAATATAAATTCGTTCTATATAAACAATTGTACAACGATTTAGGCTCCAAATCACGCGTATAATCTCAACACGTCACAGAGGAACTGAGTTTTTATAGCAAATGTAGAATGTTTGCAAAATTTTGCCTCTCAATAATATTTTGTTTCATTTTACGATATTTCGCTTCGGATTTAGAATTCATAAATAGCTCTAAAACAACGCGACTAACAGATCTTGCAAAATTTCAAGTAGAGAAACGATTCGAGCGTATATTTTTTCTTTCTTTTTTTTTTTTTTTTTTTTTGACATTTTATTTTCAACGATAATTATAAGTCCTGTCCTACGTGATAATAGTTATGCACTTAAAATAATTGTATTGAGGAGATTGCAGAAACTATTGCTAGTCGCGAGTCGCTTAGCAAGTCGAGAGATTCGTTGTCTGTGAGGCATACACGGTTGAAAACCTTAGGCGAATCGAATGGGGTTTTAATTAATCGAATTGAATCGATTGAAACAAGTGGCATGGTCGCATGCCTTATGAATGGCAACGCGGCTCGAAACATAATTATCTTCTTTTTCGGCATCGCGAATCGTAAGGTTTCGTATACTACACGCCGATTTTTCTTCATTATGTATACGCTATGTACATTTGATCTTTTAAAGCACATGATATCCAGATTGACGATCGACTTTCTGATCGAAATTATTATTTTATATCTTTTTTCGACTCGATGAAAGATTTCATTGATATGTCATCAATAAGCTTAACTGATCGAAATATTTTAATAGAGTTCATTTAATACGAAAAATTAAATGAAAGAGGGACATTTATTCAAACATTTATTCAGAGAGTAAAAGATGAAAGATGATAGATTGATGAATTCAGTCTTAATTAAATTCAGTCATTATCTATATTGTTATTATTAGCACATTAAAATATAGAATCAAGCAATTACTTTGCTTTAAATATTTTTTTCTTCTTTCAATTATATTTGTATTAATGCAATTTTTAAGTATTTTGTACGAAATGTATTAAAAAATGTAAAATATGCATATAAAAGAGTATATTTATCTAGTATTTAAAGCAAACTTTAAGAAAATAATTTGTTTAATTTTAATCAATATCTAAATTATTGAATAATCATGGATATTATGTGCTTTTTTAAGATGTACTACTCGTGAATGCGCGCTCGTCTTCGAGAGACTGTGCTTCAGCTTCAATAGAACGTGGAATGAATTAGCGATTTGTATATGTAATTAATATATTAATACCGAAAGACTCGCGAAATTCAAGAATGCGAACCGGACATCTGTTTTCACTGCAAACTCACATTCCTCCATACTATATAACTTTTCTCTCTCTCTCTCTCTCCATTTTTTCAACATTCGTTTTGCAGAGTAGGACAACGAACAAATTATGGCTACGATAATTACCAATTACTTAC